CTCTCTCTCTCTCTCTCTCTCTCTCTCTCATTCTTTTTGTTCTTCATTTTCTCTCTCTATTCATCATTTTTTTCCCCCGACTCAAGCCCTTACTTTAATCCAAACACATAACCAATTATGTTATATCCTTCCCTTGATCCTAGTTAAAACTATGATTTAAAGACTAAACAAACCACAACAAAAATTATAAAAATGACAGAAATTGGATCAAAGAAAAACTAGAAAAAATAAATTAAAAAATGAAGAACACTAACCAAACTATGAAATTAAGGATCGTTGTTCGGGAGATGAGATAGGCTAAAATTGATCCTCGAGTTGGTTTCGAGAGGACTTAAGGAACTTTTGATTGGTTTTAGACATTTGAACAAGGTTCAAAATCGAAGGATTAGAATCCAATAGAGGGAAGAACGTCAAAAACAAACCCAAACATAGAAATTGAGAATTAAAACTCCAAACCTAGAAATTGAAGTTAAGAAACTTATGAGAATTAAAACCAAACTAGAATAATAGGGCAATGAATCCAAAAGGGGATGAACTTGAGTCCATAAATGAAGAAAAATGAAGAACTTTCCCGTAAAAATACGGAAAGTGCTACTACGTAAAAATCAAAATTTATATTTCGTTTTTAATTTTCTATCCCTCTTTACCTAGACTCTTCCACCATCTTCTTGTTGTCTTTTCTTCCCGGCCAACACAAACCTTTTATTAGCAAGAATTTGCTCGAATCTCTTCTCAAAATCAGTCCACTCAATTCAAATTCCAATTGTCAAATATCAAATTTGATATTTGATTAGCTAAAACAAGAAAAATGGATCAGTGAGGCATGATTCTTTGTTAGTATCAATTACGGCTAGCAATTATAGTAAACGTATTTATAAGAAAAAATAATCGATGTAAGATTTAGAAAGATTGTTGAAAGATTTTCACGGGGATTCGAGGTTAGAGGGACGACACGTCGTCTACTTAATTTTAATCCCATTGTTCATGCCAAAGTTTCAATTTGGTCCCTATAAATTTCAATTATTCGTAATCATACTCCTTTTCATGTAATTTTAATTTTGTAAAGTACGATTTTTATCAATTGAGCCCCTATAAAGAGTAATTCAAGTTTTGAATTTCTTAATTGATTCAATTATACCCCTAATTACTTTCAATTATACTTTCTTTTAATACAATTGTGTCTTTGAATGTATTTTATGAAATTTTTGGTATTTTATACATATTTATTTTTTATATATTTATTATTTTTTCATTTTTTTTAGTAAATTCCAAAATAAAGTCAAATTAAGTAAAACAAAATAACAATTAAAAAATAAAAAAATTATGGATTATGACAACCATTAAGGATTTTAGAGTCAAGTTAGAACGGATCCTATATGAGGCGGTGGATTTTCCATCACCATCGAAGAAAAGGAAGAGATTAGAAAGTAGTTTGTTTTATGTAAGGTTCTAAAGTCTCGTTGTAAATTACGTAGCCTTACTATACCACTTATGAGGAATGAATAGACTCTTAGTCACATTTAGACTATGATTGATATGTATGAATGTAATGACATTCTTCTTATATCTAATTCCATAATTAATATAGGACGTACTCTTTGTCACATTTAGAATATGATTGATATCTATGAATGTAATGATGTTCTTCTTATATCTAATTCCATAATTAATGTGGGACTTGTCCCTAGCGAGAGTTATTTATCCTCTAACATCTCTTTTTAATAAGGTGAAGGAGTGGCATGTCCGTTCAACTCGCTTGAAGTTTCTATAAGGTTGGATTCTCAATGAAAACTTAAAATCCAATATAGCCCATCTTCATCTAAATTGTAAGTTCTAACATGATTGGGAGCTTTATTGATAATAAGCATGTGTATCCAAATCCAACTTGAGTATTTTTATATATTTATATATATATATATATATCTTTTGAATTTTTTACAAGAATAAAGAAACAAAGATTGCACTTAACAAAATCTCAATTTTCACAAAGAATCTTCTATATCAAAACTTGATCAAAAAAATAAAAAAACCGAATAGAATCTAAGACGACTAGAGCCTTCAACAATAAGTGGGTGGTCCGAGCAAAGAGGTATCTTGCCTAACTCGGTTTGCTTGAAAAATTCATTATGTCAAAATTATTAGGAAATGAAGCACCAATCACAAAAGATCATTGGTTTGGCTTTAAAATTTCAGCTTTACTTCTTTCTCCTACAACATCGGTCCCTCCGTAGGTCTCTCTTTACATGAATACTTCTCCTATAGTAACCACTCATCAAGAAACACCTTATACTATTGCTTATTCAAGCCGGGTGTTACTACATCTTATTAGGAATTCTCAAGTCCTATCCGTTTTGCATTCGTATGTGGCATATTCTCCATATCATTTGATGCAAGCACGCATTCCTACTATTTTTCTCCAAGTTAATGAAGAAATCGGGAAAGGAAATAAAGTTAGGGTGGATGAGTCAAATCAATTTCTAGCTTCTAATAAGGATTTGAAAATAGTTAAAAGTATGTACTCTCTAAAACTTAGGCAACCAATTCTAAGATAAGGTAGCTCTAGCTCGACCAATATTTTGACAAATAAGGGCGGTTTTAATGTCAAGATATTTCGAATTGGGCGGACCTTTGGCACATGAGAAAAGAGATGAGTTTGTAGAGCGATGTTCCAAAAGATGGTGAGTAATGGTTGCACAAGTATGTCCATTTTTAACAAAGAAAGAACTTATTTATATCTTTATTAGTACTTTTGAATCTTCATATTATGAGTGTTCATGAGCTATATCTCATCTAAATTTGATGACCTTGTTGAAATTATTGAAAAGATAGAATATCAATCGGAGATGTAAATGCTAAGTCTTCCAATTTGTAAGATGATGTCATTGCATGCGCTCCTAACAATGTCAAAGTCTCTTATCATGGTGTCAAGTTGAACTTAGTATCTCCTTACTCATATGAACTCTCGTCAAAATTTAAGATGCTCTAGTTGTTCAGCAAATTCTATCATTGCCTTCGATCTACTAGGCTTATTTATCTTAATCCCACAAATCCAAGTGCAATTGCCTTATCCAAGATGGTACAATCCATATGTTAGATACGGGTACCATGCTTGGAATAAAAAGCCATTCCCTTGAGGAATGGAAACATTTCCAATCTCATATACTAAGTCGGGTGAAAACAAGAATGATGTCATTTAAAGAAGATAATAGAAAGTACATCATCAATACCAATCCTCAAAATATTGGTGAACAAGCTCTTTAGAAAACACATTCCGAAAACACATAAGTCTATTCTTACATTGCCCATTGCTTTCAATTCTTAGAGACTAATATAAATTATATTCTAAAACCTCACCTATCAGCTTAAGCTTTTAGATGAGATGGTCATTTAATATGGTATCGTAGCCTCAAAAAGGTCCAACTGCCCAACAAAGACCCTAGAGCTCGAGCCACTTGACAAACCCCAAAAGATGGGTTGCAAGTGAGGGAGAGTGTTAGAACACATATCCCACATTGAGTAGTTAAACCAATGATGAATAATATATAAAGTTGAGAAAGGTTCACCACCACTAGGCTTAAGTCTTTTAGATGAAACGCAATCTCAATAAGCACAAAACAATGTAGACATGTGCAAATTTTAAGCCCAAATGTCGAGGCTTTCACCCGAGGAGATGCATTAGAGACTAATATAAATTATATTCCGAGGCCTCACCTATGAGTTTAAGCTAAACTACTATTTCCTAAATGGTACAACCAAAGGCAAAATATGAATTCTATAGAGGAGCTATTAGGCACTTTATCAAAAAGTGCTTAGCATTTAAGAGTCAATTATTTATTTTGATCAAGAATGGTTGGTTGTCATTAATAAAAGTTATGGAAACTCACCGCATCAACATACATCATGAGATAAGTTCAAAGACTACGACCGAGAGCAACATCCATTTAATATCAATTGAGGAGTTGTATAGTGGTCACCAAACCAATGAAGAGGCTTGACAAATAGAGAAGAGTATCAAAAAGCACATTGAATTATAGTGATAGATGTGGAAGGGTGTGCTAGGGATCTCAAAGTATGCTTGTGTCTACAGTTTGTCAAAAAAAGTCTTTTAATTTTTTGTCGGCTTTTAAACTCGTTTCCTAAAGTATTCTATTTTTCACAAATTGATAAGTATTTTGAATGAAAAAGTAGTTTTTACTATCTTTTTATAATTTTTTATTATTTTATTTTAAATCAAATGGTGTTCGATTGAAATTGTTATTTGGCATTACTTTTCATCCATCAAAAAAATATCATAGGAAATCATTTCAAAATCTTTAACAATTTATCAAATTTCAAAGCAAGTCATGAAAATTTTGAGGGCAATCTGATTTTGTTGAAGCTAGAGATTCTTTTTTCATCTCTCAATAAACCCTTGAAGGAAAAGTAGGGGAACAATTCCTCGTTTCATTGAAAAAAAAAAAGAAAATTTTGTTTTTCCAAATAAATTCTTAAGAGAAAATTTTTTTCCTAGAATAATGTCATGAAGCTCAAAATTAAAAAGCTAAATAGTTTGGTATTTTAAAATAATGATTAGTATATTTTGAGATCGTGATTCAAACTTAAGTTACCATTACTTCTCTTTAGTTAACCTTAGGTTTTTCCAAATTAATAATTATTTTCAAAAGACATTTAGCATTTATTAGACGAATCAACTTTCAAGATAAAAGACAAATCATTTTTCATATGTCTTGCAAATAATCAAACCCCAATCCCGTTACACATATAGGCTAAACTCAAGCACAAAAAATTAGCTTCATCTAGCAAAAAAACATGTATATGCATTCCTTCTCACGCTGCAACCAGAGACAAGAATGGTTGCGACGGAGTTTTAAAGGCCAGAATTATGCATAGAGAATCAAGGACTAGGGAAAAAAAAAAAAAAAAACTCAAGGAAAGACTTGGGCTATAAAAACAAATGCTGGAAAACAGAAAGGGAACGTTGTTTAGACACAGAGTTTAGTTTAGTCTTCGAGAAAAAAAGAAATTAAAAAAAAAAGAAAAAAAAAGGGGAGAGAAAAAGGACGAAAATACGGAGAAATGAAAAGGGTTCTGAGTTAGGGTCCTTAAGAGTTAATTTGAAAGTCTTTTGTAGGGAAGTAAGGAAAGGGGAAAAAAAATCAAAGAAGGAAACCCTAAAACTATCCACTACCACCCTCACAGCCACCATCCTTCTACCCCTCAAAACCACCACCAAGGCTACCGCGAACGACCATGAAAGCAACAATAACAACCCCCATCTTCTGTTGTGTTTTGCTTTTCGACTCAAATAGGTATGATGCCTCTTCTTTCACTTCTTTTTTATTACCAGTGTTAGCAGACAACTTATGTTCTCATAATATTTTAGACCCCTGTTGTCAGTACCAATTTTAGTGAGATTAAGCATTTATATTAGGTTCCACATTAAAGAAAGAGTAATTATTTTAGGTTCCATATCAAAGAAAGAGATCAAGTACCAGATCCATATGAAATTTTGTGAGTCATTCAGTTCTTCATACAATGCAAATCGTATTTGATTGCTTGAACCACGTAGGATAATGTAGTCATATACAATTTATTTTTCTTCTTAAGGTAGATCATATATGGAGACAGTAACTACGTCACAATCAATTTGGAAGCAAGTTTCACAGGCATATGTCAAAGAAATAAACATATCAAAAAAAATCAAATAAGAGTGCATCAAAAGAGATCATATAAGATATTTGGAATGTAAAAAACTTCAAATAAACCAAGATGTTTAAATCAATCAAAAAATGATTGGATTTTGAAAGATAGCTAAGGTTTTAAGATAGAAAAATCTAAGAAAAAAACTTTAATTTGAACTTTTGATTTTTATTTTATTTGAGTGATTAACTTCTTATTTTTATTTTATTTGGGTGTATTACGTCGCTTGAAAATGTTAAATGCTAAACTGGTTGATAACATCAGACACCTTACCATTTTGTATCGACAAGTAATAAAAATTAGGTCTCGTTCAATATTATTGAAAAAAGAAAAAAAAACGTATAAATGTTGTATAAAAGAAAATGATGGGAGGAATTAAAAAAAAAAAAATTAAGAGAGAGAAGAAAAACACAAATGAGAACTGTTAAAAAAAAAAAATTTGAAAATCAAAACGGTAAAAAAAAAAAAAAAAAAAGGAATGGAAACTGTAAAAAAACAAAAAAACAAAAAGCAATCAATTACGACGGCCAGAATAGCAGCCACCATGATGGCGAAAACAACCACAAAATAGAGTTGTTCTCTCCTTCGATCTCAATAATTTTGAGCGAGACCCACAATTTGCTACGCGTTAATTGATATCAAATACGTCAACATTTAAGAGTCTCGCGTGATGAAATGCACTCTCAAGTAAAAAAATAAATAAATAAATAATAAAAAAATAAAAAATAAAAAAATCAAAGTCTATTTATAGAGAAACAACTCGGTGGCTAAATAATTTTTTTTTAAAAAAAAAAAAAAAAGAACTGAGCTAAATTAATTAGGATATAAATCTTATCAGAATAATTATTAAATATACTAAAACAAAATGTAAAAACATTGTACCCACTATACTCTTGCTACCGGGGAAAGCTCCAACTTTAGGCTTTAGGCAGAGACAAGAGTTCAGATCGTATTGTATATTTTAAAGTTTAGTAGATTGATTTGAAAGAAAAATAATGAAAACCTCAAAACCTATAATTAAGGGCTAATGTATCCACCTACTCTAATATATTTTTCGTATTCCCTTATATATCTTTTTAAGAATTTTTTACTCTCATATGTCCTTATATATTGATATTTTCTTTCATATATTCTTTTACTATATTTGGGGGGAGGGGGGGCTCCTTATAATACCTAAATAAAATTTAATTTTCAAAAATTCACAAAGCCTGAAAATTCTAGAAAATAGAAAAAAATTCAAAATCGTGGAAATGTAAAAATAACATCTCAAGAAATTTGAAATAAGTCATAAGTCAGTCTCTCTTTCTCCTATATATATATATATATATATATATATATATATAATGAAAAATCTGAAAAACCATGTCTTGTAAATTTTTTTCATTGGTATAGATGTATTTCTATTTATGAAGTTTTATGACATGATTTTTTTATCTTTTAGATTTTACAAGTTATTATTTTTTTTTAGGTTTTTCAATTTTTTCTAGGTTTTTTAAAGTTTTTCTTTTTTGTGGTTTTTTCTATTATATTTTTAGGAATTTCAAAATTAATTTTTTTTCTTTAGTGCTTGTAGGGTATTTTTGTCCAAAAGTAACAAGAAAGACATGCATATGAGAGAAAATATAAAAATATTAAAACATATGATAGTGAAAATTTTTAACGTGACACATGAGAGGATGTGCATAATATATATAAGAATAAATAGATCAATTAACCATATAATTAATCTTACTACAACGAATAAATGTGATCAAACACTTCTTTCTTCTCCTACAAAACATAAGCCACAAACCAAATCTGGCAGGCCAAGACATCATTCACTCAAAATTTTAAGATTTTCATTTTCTTCTTAAGCTTAAAATTTTAAATTATTTGCTTACAATTTTAAAAAGTTGAGAATCAATCTAATATATTAGGGATTTAAGAATTAAAATCATAACTTAGCAATTAAATAATGTCAAATGATTATTTCAACCTAAAATTTTAATCTTTTGGATGAGGTTTCAAAAATGATTTTATCACTATATAAAAAATATATATCAAATAGTAACAAAAATCAACGACAAATCAACTTTCGTTGTTAAATAGTGAGCAAATAGCGATAGAATAACGTTTATTGCTAATCCATCTCTATTTTTAATGTCTGAATTTAGCAACGCATATTTCGTTACTAAAAGAAACATACATCTCAATTTAGCAACGGAAAAGTCCGTCACTCAAGGTAAAAAAATGGATGGACTTTTTGAAAGTCAAAATTGCACAATTAGCAATGAGTTAGCAATGGACACTTATGTTTGTCTCTATATATGAAAAATGGGCGCCCAACTCGTGATAAATTAGCCTCCCGAGTTTCAGATGGGTTAGCAACGGATACTTATGTCCGTCACTAAATAGCAACAGATCAGCAAAGAGATTGTGTCCATCACTACTTTTCAATCCCTAATTAAACCTCCTTTTTCTTTCTCCTATCCCATTTTCTTCTCCATCTCCTTCTCCAACCAACAGCCTATCGATCTCACCCCCTTACAAACCACTATCAAACTCCACTCTTCCATTCTCAATCAATCTACACCATTTCCAAGCTCTTTTCTCCCAAAAGAAACCTATGTTTTTTTCTTCCCTTCTCGAGGGGTAATTTCACCCGAATTAGTTAAGTTTTTCTCTCTTGTATTTTCTTAATTAGAGTTAAGAAGTGTTTGATCAAACTGAAAATTAAGTGCTGAATTTATTAAGTATTAAATATATTTTTGATAAGTTGTTTGATATTTACTAAAAATTAAGTGTTGAATATAATAAGCTTGATTGATACGTATTGTTGCTAAGCATATTAAGACTATATACATGACAATTTTAACCTTGTAATTGTAGCATGATATTTTTTAACATAAATAAAAATATATACATAAATGTGTTTATGTGTACAAATAAATAAATAAATAAAATTCAATAAAAATAATTATTAATAAAAAATTAATACAATCTAATTTTCTTCCCCTTAATAAAAATGGAAGGAAAATTACTTACAATAGGAATTTTTTTTTTTTTTTTTTTTTGACTGTAAAAGAGCAAGTCTAGAAATATCATTAATGTTTCCACATAACAAGAACCATAATAATTGGTCTCCACCACTAACTAGGAAATTAATAAAATAAAAAAAATCCCAAAATGCTAAAACTGAAACAAATTTGGAACTTGTAAGATAATGAGAAGCTCGAAAGCAAATAAATCTTTGGCTGTCGTTTTTGAGTTTTGCAAGCTCCTGCCTGACAATTCCAGTCTTCTTGATCTTTGCCAACATGAGCTTGACCCTATCAAAATCATTAAGAGCTACCCCTCTCTTCTGAATAGTGAGCCTCCTGCCCATGAACCATTTTTCCCGTTTGTTCTTCACATCAGCTTTCTCCATGGCTTGAATTAGTGCTTTTCAGATCTGCTGACAAAAACCACTCTCCCAATTTCCACGTACCTCTTGGACGATATTTTTTAACAGATCTGTTGAGAATCGACGAAGAGAGAGGCGACCGCTACCTGCAATAGGATTAGACCTTCGCCTTTTAGATTTTGGGATGGAAGCATCGATAATGGAGAAAGTTTTCTCTGTTTTAATAATAGAGATAATAACTATTATTTTTTAGTTAGTTTATATAACTAAAGTTATAAGAATATATAAAGGTGATGTAGTTATATTTAGAAAGTTTTAAAAATCTATCAACTAAACGTGTTAATTAAAAAGTAATAAGTTAAAACTTTACCTTATCTAACTAAGTAGATTTTGATCGAACTTAAATTTTTAAAGTGAGATTATTTAGGTTATCAAACAAAACTTTTTATATTAAGCACTACACCTTAATGTTTTAAGCTACTTAAATAGGTTATAACCAACTTAGTACTTTATTGTAATTATTAGGTTAATTTAAAGTTTAATTGCTTGATTTATAATTATTTATGTATTTAATTGTTATTTTATTGATTTATTTGCTAAATTGTTAATTTTTGTTAATTGTTATGTTAATTTGTAGATTAATCTATCAATTTTGTTAAATATTTGTTAATTGTTAGCCTAATTTATTAATTAATTGAATTCAAATTTAATCAAAATTGATTTTTAATTAATTAAGTTAATTTTATTTATGCTTAGTTAATTAATTAGGTTAATTTAGTTTAATTGGTTGAATTAGAATAAATATATTTAATTAATTATAATTTTATGAATTAATTGTTTAATTTTTATTAAATAAGTTAATTTAATTGTTATTTTAAATTTAATGTGGTTAGAATTAGAATTAGTTATGTTAATTTGATTTATAATTAATTAATTAATTAGGTTAATTTTATTTAATTGGTTGAATTATAATTTTATTTATATTAGAAATTTTTAATTAATTTTTATTTTAAATTTAATTTGTTTAGAATGAGACTTAATTAAGTTAATTACATTTCTAATTAATTAATTAATTTGGCTATTTTTTTAATTGGTTGAATTATAACTTTATTTATATTAAAATTTATTAATTTATTGTTATTTTAAATTTAATTTGGTTACAATTAGAATGAACTAAGTTAATTTGATTTATATTTCATTAATTAATTAGGTTAATTTTGTTTAATTGGTTGAATTATAACTTTATTTATATTAAAACTTGTTAATTTATTTTTATTTTAAATTTAATTTACTTAGAATTATAATTAAATTAAATTAATTTGATTTATATTTAATTAATTAATTAGGTTAATTTTTTTAATCTGGTTGAATTATAATTTTATTTGTATTAAAGCTTGTTAATTTATTATTTTTTTAAATTTGATTTGGTTAGAATTAGAATCAATTAAGTTAATTTTATTTATATTTAATTAATTAATTATGTTTAATTGGTTGAATTATAACTTTATTTATATTAAAAATTGTTAATTTATTGTTATTTTAAAGTTAATTTGGTTACAATTAGAATTAGAATTAATTAAGTTAATTTGATTATAATTAATTAATTAATTAGGTTAATTTTATTTAATTGGTTGAATTATAATTTTATTTATATTAAAAATTATTACTATATTGTTATTTTAAACTTAATTAGTTTAGAATTAGAATTAATAAGTTTAATTATTTTGTATATAATTATTGATGTGTGTTGAGATTTGTCGTAGTATATTAAACCTGAGGGGTCGAAGACCCCTAGGAATTGAAAAGAAAAAAATTGGTTCAATGTTGTGTAATGAAGCTAGGAAGAGGTGTTTGAGATTTAATTTTGATAGAGTATCCGAGATAATTTTTTATTTCGGTATGTGTAAATTGATTATTGATTGAATTAATTTCAATATTTCGTGATCATTTAGAGTATCCGTTAGTTGGAAAAGATGTAGTTTACATGGAGACTCTATCAAAATTTTGTTAGATATTTTCGGTAAGTGAATATCAATTTTATAGATTTTTGTTTGTTTTAATTCATAATAATTTATAATATATTTTCAATCGAATTGTTATTCATTTGTTAAACTATTTTAGGTGTTATTCTTGAGTTATTCCTCGTAGATTGGGCGGATCTAGTTGCCATGTCGGTGTTCGTGGCTCGATCTTAACCGTGCAACGAGATAATAGTGGTATACGTGAATGTTGCATTGCTAGTGCTAGTGTCCAAGGCCATTGACTTAATGTTTCCCCTATAGTAGTGGCCTCGCCATTTAAGCTCCCAACGATAGTGACTCCGCCAATAATGCCTCCAACTATAGATGATCTCACTATAGTTTTCTCAGCTCTAAAAACTCTACTAGATCTTATGACGAACCATTTGGGTCATAAATAAATAGTAAGTAATATATTTTACATGCAATAATTAGTTTTATATTTTCACATATTATATTGGAATCATCAATTCATCACTTATTTATTATTTATTTTTTTTTGTTCGATAGCTTGGTTCCATCAAGCAAATGCTCCACAAAAGTCATCGTAATTTTCAAAGAGCGGTTGGACATCACTAGCTCGACATGGACGTTTGTCTCCATGGACACAAAAGACTTCTACTTTAATGAATTTAGAATAATATATTAATTATTTATTTATATTTCATTTAAAGTGTTAATTAACATGAAAAGTACTAATATTATTTTTTTAATGTAGAAATACTATTTATGGGATGTGGTCATCGATGCACCGATTAAAGATGTGTAAGAGAGTCCGGCATGGAGACGGTATGGCGACATGCTTAACAAGCTGAAGCATAGAATACATTACAAGGAATTTACCAATTAGCGATGAATTTTAATGACGGAATTCATTCCATCTCCAATTAGCGATCGATTAATGACTAGTCAATGACCGACAAAAAAGTTGATATTTACGACTCTTTAACGATGGATTAACGATGGTTTTTTTCATCGCAAATTTATGTGGTAAAAAAAACGTCACTTTTAATAACGGATTAGCGATGAATTTTCATCACCGATTAGCTATAGATGAATACGCTATTGTGACTACCAAATGGATAGAATTAGTGATGGATAAGTAATCCATCCTTATCCTCGAATGAAAATATAGACGGAATCGAGCATTTCGTCGCTAATTGTACTATTTGGGGGGAAAATTCCCCCTAAAATAGTGATGAATTTCATTCCATCGCTACTTTGGGTGATTGTTTCCCCCAAAAATGAATAATTTAGCGACAAAATGATGATTATGTCATTAATGATTCATTTTTGGGGGAAAAATCCCCTTGATGTAACGCCGGAATGGGGGATGCCAAAATGAAGAACTAATGATGGAATCATCATTTCGTCACTAATTCACAAATTGTAAGGGAAAAACCCTCCCGATGTAGCGATGAAATGCTCATTCCGTCGCTACTTGGGCGAGATTTTTCCCCCAAAATGAAAAATAATTTCATCGCTAATTAGAGGATTTTGGGAGGAGAAACCCCCCAAGTGCCGATGGAATGCTCATTCTATCGCTATTTTGGGGGGAGTTTTCCCTCCAAAATTCGCCATTAGCCCCTATAAATGCCCCCTCTCCTATCATCTTCCTCATTCCTCTCCCTCTCCTCTACTAAATAACTGCGCCACTCTACACCACCAAGTGACTCTTCAAATTGTTCAACAAAGTGAGGTGCTACTTTCTTCCTTAAACTCGGATCAAATATGTTCTCTCTATCTCTCAAGTAAAACTTTCTCTCTCTAACTCTTATGTTTTTGTTTAAATTAAATAAATGTTAAAAATTTTATAGATTAATTTTGTTATATGTTAGTTGAATAATTATTTGAATGTTTTTGATTAATTATTTGAATGTTGTTATGTTAATTTTTAATTATGTTAATTATTAGTGTAAATTTCTTAATTGTTTATTTAAATTAGTTAATTTTTTATTTAATTTTCTTAACTATTAGATTAATGTTGTTTTAGTGTTATTTTCTTAGTGATGTTACTTTCTAGGTTAATTTTATGTTAATGTAAAACTAAAAAAGTTTAATTATGTTAATTTTTTAGGCTAAATATTATTAAAGTAACTTAGTTTAGGATCATTTATAGTTAAATTTAAAAAATATATATTTATGTAATTTAGTTTGAAAATTAAAAAAAATAAAATAAAAATGTATTTAAAAACTAAACAAAAACATTAAAATTTAATAAACATTTTATTAATTAATAGAATTTGATAAAGATTTTATTTAGTTCAATTTATAGTTAAATTAAAAATTACTTTATGTTACGTAATTTATTAAAATTTAAATTAAATTTAGGATTAATTAAATTAAATTTAGTTGAATTTGTTATTAAATTAGTTAGGAAATTTTAATAAAAATAAACATTTTTATCTTTAAAATATTTAAAATTTCTTGTAATTTAAAATTTTTTAAATTTATGTGATTTAGTTTGGAAATTAAAAAATTGGAATTAATTGTAATTGGAAAGTAAACATAAAAGTTAAAATTTAATAAATATTTTATTAATTAATAGAATTTAAGTCTATACAATAAATCATTGAATCTTATAAAATTAAGTATGTAAGAATTAAAAAAATTTTAAAAATGTAATCATTTTGTAAACAATTATTTAAATATAAAGTCAAATTCTTAAAATAAAATTCATAACTAATTAAAGACAATTATACAACTAAAATGAAAAAATGTAATTATTTTTATTGGTTGTGTCATTTTTGCGGTAATTAAAAAAATGAGATCCGATCGACAATGGATGAATGTTAGATTAGTTAACGGATTATTAAATGATGATTTTGTCGGAGGTGTAGAACAATTTTTAGCTTTTGTTATTGAGCATCCCGAATGTATGGATGGAACCAAAATCAAGTGTCCTTGTAATTTCGGTAAGTGTCGAAATCAAAATTATGAAGAGATTGAAACGGTAAAATATCATTTATACTTGTAAGGGTTTTGTGACGATATATTATGATTGGG